ACTTGCAATGCCTCTGTGCATAAAGAAGTCCCCAGTTCCACCAACAATTGATAAATCTCGAATCTTCATCGTGCCACTATCTACCCCAATTACATGGAAGTTTCCATGATAATCCGTAGTATTAAGAATGAACGAAAACGCGAACCATGCTGTTAAGATTTTCTTGTTGTCATACAAGTATAAACCCTGAGCTCGACCAATCGGAAGGGAATGAAGATTATTGTCTAAAGTAATAGGGTTATCAAATACCACGACATCCCCAAAATGATTTTGGTCAGCCAATTTTGTCAGATTGCCCCATTGGGGAGCAGCCACAATAGTCGACGTTGCATTGGCTGCATTATTGCCATTGTAACGAATACTGTGGAAAAAAAAGAGTAGGTGTTTGCATGGTTTGTAGTGTTTATTGTTTCTTTGATGATTATCAGATGAAGAAAGAGTAAGAAACATGAAGAAAAAAACAAGTATACTTAAAGTTGTGTGTAAACCCATTTGGTCAAGATTATGTGGAAAGGAAAGGGGCAGAGAATTGGATTAGATGATTGAATAAAGTTGTAGGTTTCTTGAAAATCTCTTGGCCTTTTTATAGGCTATGGAAAAGATTTCAATTAATAAAAAGGAAGAGACATGGCATAATGAAATATAAGTTGTTGATTTGTTAAATGGCATATTATTTTACATTGATTCGATGTTTTATTCCATTAAACAATTTTATGGGATTAACTCAACTGACAATAAGATTTGAGTTTTTAGAGATCCTATTCAGAAGTCATGGGTTTGAGTCATGTAAAACCACTGAGAATTTTTCACTGAAATTAGCCAATGTGCATGTAAGATAATCCGAACACCCATGACTAAAAAAAATAAATAATCCTAAATAGGTTGGTTAATGCATACTCATTATATATGTATTCGATATTTTATAAATACATAGAATAATACTTGTCGAAATGGGCATATACATGAATATAAAAAGAATTAGGGATCATACATATTTGTGTTCCTTAAATTTGACTCAATTAATATCTGGTAGTTAATTATGAACTTGCAGTAGTTTATTGTTACATTCCCATATATCTAACTATTCTTTAAAAGCATCATAAAGTCATTTTGAAGGTATAAAAATAGGCTGATCTATTAACATCATATATATATATATATATATATATATATATATATATAGAGAGAGAGAGAGAGAGAGAGAGAGAGAGAGACTTAGGATCATGTGAGACCAAGGGTTTTTCGTGAGACCCATAAGACCGATTCTCAACCATTGGATTAGATCTACAATCTAAATATTCATAATCACAAAATTGCCACGAGACTTCTCAATAATCACAAAATTGTCACCGTGCAACTTTAGACCATTAGATCATTAGTTTATATGTTCATTGATCAACTTTATAAGCTAATGATCTAATGGCCTAAAGTTGCACGGTGGCAATTTTGTGATTATTGAGAAGTCTCGTGACGTTTATGAATGTTCAGATTGTAGATCTAATCCAAGGGTTGAGAATTGGTCTTACGGGTCTCATGAAAAACCCTTGGTCTCACATGATCCCAAGTCTATATATACATACTTATATATATATAATATATATATATATATATATAGAGAGAGAGAGAGAGAGAGAGAGAAAGAGAGAGAAAGAGCGAGAAAGAGATAGGTGAGTTATTATTCAACCATTTACATTTGTACAACCAATACAACTCAACCTTAACCGTCCATTTAATTTTATGAATATATAATTTCATAAAAGTTTTGATTGTTTCATAATATAAAGTATTGATCATAATTAATGAACGCTAGTCCTCTTCCATAAATATTCAAATCATTATAAATGAACTCTCATCATTTCCATAAATATCTCAATTAATTGGATCGCAGTGGTTGTACAAATAGACATGGTTGCATTTAAAATATACCAAATATATATATATATATATATATATACACCCAAATGTTATATTCCCATATATCTAACTATTTTTTAAAAAGTTTAAATCATCTTACCAATATAACGTCATCTTGAAGGTTAAAAAAAAGACTAATCTATTAACATTAGATTTATCTGTGTGCCCAATTTTCATATTTGATCCTTACTGTGTATCCTAAATCAAGTAAAGGATATTATGATCTAAAAATTCATAATTAAATTGTTTAAAGCTAATATTACAGGATATATTTACTTAATTATCCAAATCTGATTATTTTCTTCCTAAATAAATAAATAATAATCAATTTAAACAAACATCCAATGATCCAAACATTTTGTAGCGGGAGTTTCAAATACAAATCATTATTAACAGTAAATTTAGTCCTAATATTAAAAAATATTAAAAGAAAACCATTTTTTCCACATATTATTACAACTACTCAGCTGGTTAATATTTGATAAACGTAAAAAGTGATACAATATTATTTCTCTGTCATACTCGAACAAATCATACTCAGCTTTATTTGTGGAACGGAAAGTTAAAACATCACGTTCAATATTTTATTTTCGGTATTATGTGAAGTTATAATTTTCAAGAAGTGGTTGAAGGATAAGAAGTTTAAGCAAGGAAATTTAGTTCAAAGAAAGGGTATTTTTGTCATTTTCATTATTCCATTCCAATTAATTTGTAAACCAAACAGACAGATTCCAATTCATTTAGCAGATTACATTTCATTTTTTGTTAACCAAATACTTGATCAAACTTAATAACATTTCATTCTAATTTCTTCCAGGTTCAAATTTTTTTGACAGATTATATTCTTTGAAAAAACATTATACGAACCAAAAGCCCTAAGAAGGTTCCGGATGCATGTACTTCTGCTCTACTGTCCATACGTAATGGAACATAATTAGTTTTATAAAGTTTCAAAAGTGTAGATGTATATAAGGAGGTTCAGGAGAAAACCTTTAAATAACTGAAAAAATAAAAAATAGAACACTTTATCAACCGTTAGATTTGATGATCTGATGGATGTGATGAAACGGACCGTTACGTCAATATTTTTTAAATTTAAAAAACCTCACCTCCTTATTTTTTATTCAAAAAAAAAAAGAAAAAAAAAACAAAATTCTGCCAAAATAAATTACACAAAAAGAACGATCATTTTCTCATTAATATGACATTCACATTGATATACTTTTTAATTCACTTTTCGTCGTTTTCTGATTTTCTATTTATTTAACGTTTTCCCCTATATCTGACCTATGTGTGTGTATAGAGAAAAAAGAGGAAGATTTATACAAGAATGATACGTATTTAAGAAAATAAGATAGTGATTTTAGACCAATTATTTATTAAATAAAACTTTCTAAAATGGTCCAAAAGGGTATACGTGTTATTTGTTTCATGCAGATTACATGTGGAAATTCATTTATTTTTATAAAGATCATTTAATTAAGTATTTATTCATATTTTTTTATGGTTTTTATGATTTAATGATTAATTTTTTGCATTTATTTATTTTTTAACTTTTACAACGATTAGAATAAGTGTAATTTAGTTTTTCGTTTAAAATATTTATTTTTATTGAAGTAGTTTATTTAAAAAAAATATAATTTTTATAAAAAAAAGTGACATCCACAGTTAATCACTAAGATAAGTAAGAGCACACAATAAACGCTAATCTGATAAGTATTTAATAAAAAAAAACTTAAAAATCTTGTGAAATTCTTGAAAAACTTATCTTATGATTTATAAAAATCAAATCAAAGGAGAAATAAAAATTCTCTTGTGGCCACGGAGGTTTAAATGCGGTGATTCCGGGCTATCTGCAAAGTAGGTGATCGTTCTGGAATTAGTCGGCTTGCATAGCGAGTTAGATTTCAACGTTAATAAAAAATAATGTAAAAAAAAAACTGGACCAAGTATAATTCAGTCCCAGCCTCCCAGGCCACCAGACCATGCCCAATTTGACATTTGACCATCTCTATAGTTTGATTCACCCAACAACAGCAGTCTAAGCCCAACAAAGAAACAACATGGTCCAATAGCATTCTTCTAAGACTTGTTGGACTTGGAAGGGTACAAAATTTCTTATTATAGCATTGTAATTTCACTTTTTTTTATTATAAAAATGTATTTTTAAAATATTTTTTTTATTAGAGCATCGTATTTTCAAAAATTTACCCGTTAGAGCATTGTGTAATCTTTTAAATTAAATTTACTCATTATACCAGGTTTCTTTGTCACCTCATCCTCCACGTAGGCTGTCCACATGTATGAATGTGCTGATATGACATTTCTTATTATAGTTGTACTTTCAAAATTAATTTATTTTAATATCACCAATTTCTATTACATCATTGTACTTTTAATTTTAATATTTCTATTACATCATTGTACAATGTTGAAATAGAAATTAGTGATGTTATAAAAAAGTAATTTTGAAAGTACAATGCGATAATAAAAAAATGTCATGTCAACACATTCACACATGTGGACAACCTACATTGACAATGAGGTGGCAAAAAAACCTGGTATGATGGGTAAATTTAATTTTAAAGGTTACTCAATGCTATAACGGATAAATTTTTGAAAATATGATGCCCTAATAAAAAATATTTTGAACGTACATTGTTGTAATATGAAAAAACGAAAGTACATTGTTATAACAAGAAATTTTGTAAAAATAGGTTTTTATTTCACACATTTTACCTCTTACTGAAATAATTCAACTCAAATAAAAGTCTAAAATTAGAGGTGTCGTCATAGTCTATTATACGGTAAAGTTATGTTCATATTTTGTTGATGAGTTCCATAAATATTACAAACAACAACTCATTCACATATATAAAATGAAAATATAATTTTAACTTATTTATTTTATCAAGATATTAGTATGTTACAAGATAATATGATATAAGGATAGTATCACACTCACACCAACATATGTTTTTTAAAGGACACATTTACGACAACCAAAATACAAAAGGAAATGACTTCGAATTCAATATTAGATGCATACCACAGGAAAAGAGACCTGCAATCATGTGATATCAGGATTACCAACACTCGTAGAACTTTATGTCAACACGAAGCCTAAAGTACACTTCACCTTCAACCGAATCAACCGAAAGAGTTGCAATGCCTCTGTGCATAAAGAAGTCCCCAGTCCCACCAACAACTGATAAATCTCGAGTCTTCTGCGAGGACGGGTTTACCCCAATCAAATGAAAGTTTCCATGATAATCCGTAGTATTAAGAATGAACGAAAACGCGAACCATGCTGTCCATACTGTCTTGACATCATACAAGTATAGACCCTGAGCTCGACCAACCGGAGGGGAATGAAGATTATTATCTAAAGTAATAGGGTCATCCATAACCACCACATCCCCAAAATGAGACTGGTCAGCCAAATTTGTCAGGTTGCCCCATTGGGGAGCACCCACAATAGCTGATGTTGCATTGGCTGCATTCTTGCCATTGTAAAGAATATCATGGAAATACAAGACTAGGCGTTTGCATGGTTTGTAGTATTTACTATTTCCTTCATGATTATCAGATGAAGAAAGAGTAAGAAACATGAAGAAAAGAACAAGTACAGTTGAAGTTGTGTGTGCGCCCATTTTGGTCAAGATTATGTGGAAAGGAAAGTGGATTAGATGACAGAATGAAGTTGTGAGGTTTGTTGAAAATCTCTTCCCCTTTTTATAGGCCATGGAAAAGATATGAATTAATAAAAAGGAAGAGACAAGGTACAATGAGAGTAGCATGAAGTACAAGTTGGCGATTTGTTAAATTGCATGCTATTTGTATTAATGATTTTGATGACAAAACGATGATAGAAGATGTCGTTTTATGCAAAAGACTTCTTACCAAGAAGCCTTGTTGTCCATAGTGAAAATAAGGATCAAGGAAAAATTAAGGGGACGTTTGTTTTTTAAATGTGCTGAAATCTGAAGTCTTATTTCACTTCTGATTAATAAGAGGTGACGCTGAAGTCTGAAATCTGAATCTGAATCGATAAGATTGTTTGTTTTTATAAACTGAAAAACATTTGTAGTCTGAAATCTTAATCACTAGTTTGTTTTTGTAAAATCAAGTGCAAACATTTTGTAAAATTCTCTTGATTTTCAGAAAATTTTCATTGCCGAAATCAATCTCAACAATTGATTAACAGATGGAACACAGTAAGAACCTTTCAGATACCTATCAAACTTTCGATACTATCAGGAATGCCACCAGTGAGTTTGTTTGCGGAGAGATCATACTTTTGATAGAGAATAGATCGCCGATAAAAATTCTTTTTCACATTAATCTTCTAAGCTAACATATATGTACAGAAATTACACACACACACACATGCAATGCACACACACACACACACACACACACATATATATATATATATATAGAGAGAGAGAGAGAGAGCTGGAGGGGATACATTTCACATGTGTGATGAAAGAACGGTGACGTCCGTGGTGGAGAAAGGGGAAATAAGAGGGATTAATATATTAATTTATCTCTTATTTATCCAGATTCTATTAAGTGCTAAGATGCTCTGAAGAAAAAAAATACAATCTGAATTAACAAACGTCGGAATAAATCAGATATAAATGGTAGTAAGTTTAAATAAAAAAAATACAATCTGAATTAACAAACAAAACCTAAGTAAGTTTAAATAATTAAAAAAATAAATAAAAATAATTATAAAATATGGAATGCAAACAAAGTAAGGGGTGTTTGGGATTGCTTATAAAAATAACTTATTGATTTATTCCGATGTGGCACCGAGTGTTTGGATAAACACTTTATACCGATGTCAAACCGATAATAAAGAATTTTTGAAAAAGTTAAAACATTTTTACTTATAATAAGTTGATAATAACTTTTGCAGAAAAGAAATAAACAATCCCGAACACTTCCTAAATGGGTATTGTTTTGAAATTTGTTAGGTATATGTATATTTCATTCTAACCGTCGAAGCATTAATTTATGTTTTTATTAAAGTGATTATGGGTAAAAAAAAAATGCATTTAATTTTAATTCAGGCCTATCTTTTTTATTTATAATTTTCTTTTTTAATTAATATTTTTTTACCTTCTTAAAAAATTAAAATAAATTATCTTAATTTTTTTTAATATTTTAATCAAACAAATTATATATAAAAAAGGCAATTTTATTCTATTCGATATTACATCCATCTAGATATAGTTTTTATTCCGTCTTAACCTTTTTTCTACGTGAAATGTCACGTATGTGTTATATTATGATTATTTATGTACTTTCAAGTGTGTACAATTACTTGACAACGCAAGTCTGTAACTCAACATCACCTTTTTCAACACTTTTTTCGACATCGTAAGGCATCACGTTCTTCATCACTTTAACCCAACACCCATCGAGGTTGATCAAGAATCCATCGAGACCGAGCGAGAGCCTATCAAGACCGTAGTCTTGGTACAAGTGTAACATGCTCCGATTGTAATGACCATACTAAACACTGAACCTTCACTTAGGAAAAACGAACACTTACATGAAAAACACAACGAACATTCATGTGACAAACACATGAAACCTTCATATATCTCATAATAACTAAGCTAAAGAAATTTTAAATGGGTTCCCATTGATGCATATGATTATCCCATGTGTTGTTGGGCTTTAATGTTTTAGAGTTACGTTGGTTTGACTAACCAAACGAATCTAGTAAATCTTACTCGAAAGTAGGATTTGAAAAAAAAGTATTTTGGATGAAAATCTTAGCTTAACCACTAAGATCGAGAGGTTGTTGCAGTGAAAATTGAAGACCGAGGGTTTGTGCACAACACAAGATGTATGTTGGTTAAATCAGTTAAATGGACGGAGTCTATACCGGTTACGGAGAAGACTAACCGGATAAGCCGATCTTATTGAGCATGTTTTTTTTTTAATTCTAACTTCTTTTTTATATTTAAATATATTAAACTATACAAATGATATAAATTAAATAAAATATTATATCAATTATTAGTCTGAAACCAATTTCTTAAAAATGTTATCTTACATTAATTCGGTTTTTCATTTCATTTAACCTTATGAGATTAGCTCAACTGAAAATAAAATTTGAGTTTTTAAGGATCCTTTTCAGATATCACGGTTTGAAAAAACCACTAAAGATTTTTCACTGGAATTAGTTGATGTGGGTGTAAGATGACCCGGACACCCACTATTAATAAAGAGAAATCCTAAATAGGTTGATTATTACTTGTATTCGATATTTTATAAATACATTAAATAATACTTGCCGAAACGGGCGTATACGTGAATATAAAAAGAATTAGGGATCATACTTATTTCTATTGCTTAAATTTGACTCAATTACTATTTGGTAATTAATTGTGAACTTCCGTAGTTTATCGTTATATTCCCATATATCTGACTACTTTTTAAAAACGTTTAAATCATTTTACCAACATAACGTCATCTTGAAGGTTAAAAAAAAGACTGATCTATTAACATCATATATATATATATATATATATATATGCTCGATGTTATATTCTCATATATCTAACTATTTTTTAAAAACGTTTAAACCATTTTACCAATATAACGTCATCTTGAAGGTTAAAAAAAAAAGAGTAATCTATTAACATCAGATTTATCTATATGCCCAATTTTAATATGCGATCCTTACTCTGTATCCCAGATCACATATAAGCTAAAGTAAACGATATTATTATCTAAAAATTCATAATTAAATTAACCAGTTGTTCAAAGCTAATATTATAGGAAATGTTTACTTAATTATCTAAATCTGATTATTTTGTCCCAAAATAAATAAACAGTAATCAATTTAAACAAACATCCAATGATCCAAAATCAGGAGTTTCCAATATCATTATTAACAGGAAATTTAGTACAAATGAATATTAGGTTTTATAAATATATCAGTTGTTCTATAATAAAATTAATGAGCATAATAAATGGACTCAACTCTATCATCTTCCATAAATATAACGATCATAATAAATAAAATCTAATTATTTATTTCATAAATATCTCGATTGTTTTATAATATAATGTTTGTATTTGAAACTCTCACACCCTTTAATACAATTTTATTAGGTTTTTAGCTTATTTGGATTTATATTCTATTATTTTTATCTAAATACATTTAACTGTATAAAAAACTAAAAGAAAACCATTTTTTCTACATATTATTACAACTACTTAGCTGGTTAATATTTGAAAAACGTAAAAAGTGATGCTATATTCTTTCTCTATCTTACTCAAATTAATCATATATTTGACTTAGCTTTATTTGTGGAACTGAAAGTTAAAACATCACGTTCAATATTTTATTTCCGAGTGTTCTGTGAAGCTAAAAATTTCTAGAAGTGGTTGAAGGATAAGAAGTTTGAGCACGAAAATTTAGTTCGACAGAGGGGCAAATCTACTAAGGGGACATCTGGCTCGCAGGATTCTGATGGAATCTAATGTAATTGGAATGATCAATTTCGTTGATCGAATTCTATCATGACGTTTGGTTTACCTATGGAATTGAATTGAATTTCATGGATTTCATCATTCCATCATTCCGAGGAAGTAATTGAATTCCATTCCACCCAGTATTCTTAAAATGACAAAATTATTAAACCCTAGAGTCTGATTAAAACTTGTGCCCCCTCATTCACGTTTTCACAAACTCAAACACAATTTTCACATATTTGAATACGATTCTCTCGATCTCGCTTAGAATTCTCCTTGTTGAGGACTTTTGACCGATTTGGATTCACAAATCCTGTTCGTATGATTCTCTTTCATGCTTACCTTCTTCGAAGATGATTTGCTTATGTGATCGATTTTTATATCTGGTTTTGGGAGTTCAGTTTCTTTGTTTGGTTTTGAAATCGATTTTGCTTTCAAAATCGATTTTTTTCTTTTACGAACAAGCTCCAATTCGTTGTTTGCTTTTATGAACAACTTCATTTAGATTTTGAAATCGATTTTTTTGTTGGTTTTTTTTAATCAGTTTTTATGTTGGATTTTGTTCTATTTTTGTGCTAGTACCATCCACTACCTGGTAATCATATTGTAGTTCGATTTTTTTGTTTGTTTTTTTTTTTTTCTACTAGTAACATACATTTTATGTTATATATGATTTATAAATGGTAATTTACAAAAAAAAAAAAAATTCAAAGAAAGGTATTTTTGTATTTTTCATTTTTCCTTTCCAATTAATTTTGTAAATCAAACAGACATATTCCAATTCATTTGGCAGATTACATTTTATTTCTTGCCAACCAAATACTTGATCAAAATTAATAACAGTTCATTCCAGTTTCTACCAGATTCCAATTTCTTTGTCAGATTCTATTCTTTCAGAAAATATTATGCGAAATTATAGCCTTCGCTTGAACCGAAGAGAGTGATGACCAACCACTCAGAGTAAAGGTCGAGAAGACAACACTTGATTTCGGAGCGAAAGAAGATGGATCCATTTAAGAAGAATAACCAAACGTCCCTAATACATATTGTCTTTTAAAGATGTTTTGGAGATTAAATTGTATCAAAGTGATAATGTTCAT